GGATGGGGATGATGATGATGATGATGCTGCTGATGATGATGATGAGGAGGAAAAGGAGGAGGAAGACGAGGAGGAGGAGGAGGACGAGGAAGAGGAGGAATACGACGAAGCGGAGGACGAAACATATACTAATAAGGAGAACAAGAAGAAGAGGAGGAGGATGAAGAGAAAGAGGAGGAGCAGGAGGGGGAGGAGGAGGAGGAGGATGAGGCGGAGGAGGAGGAGGATGAGGAGTAGGACGAGCAGGAGCAGGAGGAGGAGGAACAGGAGGAGGAGGAGGAGGAGGAAAACTAGGAAGACGATGATGATGATGATGATGATGATGATGATGAGATGATGATGATTGATGATGATGATGATGATGATGATGATGATGATGATGATGATGATGATGCGGAGGAGGAGGAGGAGGAGGAGGAGGAGAGGAGGAGAAGAAAACGACATGGAGGAGACCGAGGGGGGAGGGAGGAGGAGGAGGAGGAGGAGGAGGAGGAGGAGGAGGAGGAGGAGGAGGAGGAGGAGGAGGAGGAGGAGGAGGAGGAGGAGGAGGAGATGGAGGAGGGGATGGAGGAGGATATGGAGGAGGAGGAGGAGGAAGAAACAGAAAACGAAAAAGACGAAACGTAATCGTAACCAGGAGAAGCATAAGCATACTGATGCTACTCATACGATGGAAATACGCAGAATAACGATACGTCGAATAAGAATAGTGGTACGACTGAGAATAAAAATATTACCATGATGGCCAATACTAGTAATACGAATAATAATGATATCACTAAGAAGGCTAATACGACTAGTGTTACGAAACGTAATGAAACGATGCCACATAATACATATATATAAATCTATATCTACATATATCTTTATTATTATAGTAATGATAAGAGGGCATATACTACTAAGACGAAGCATAACACGAACACTAGTACTAATCAGAAGAAGAAGACGAACACGAATCATATTACTACGAAGAATACTACAACACTAATACTAATTACAAAGAGTAGGAGACGAGGATGATGCTGATGATGATGACGAGGAGGAGGAGCAGGAGGAGGAGGAAAAGGAGCAGGAGGAGGAGGAGGAGGAGGAGGATGAGGAGGAGGCGGTGGAGGAGGAGGAGGAAGAGGAGGAGGAGAGGAGGAGGAGGAGGAGGAGGAGGAGGAGGGAAGGAGGAGAAAAGAAGGAGGAGGAGGAGGAGGAGGAGGAGCGAGGAGCGAGGAGGATGAAGAGGAGGACAAGGAGGAGGGATGAGGAGGAGGTGGAGGAGGGGAGGAATACGCGGAGAGGACGAGGAGGAGGGGAGGAGGAGGGGGGAGGAGGAACAAGAGGAGGAGGAGGAGGAGGAGGCAGGAGGAGGAGGAGGAGGAGGAGGAGGAGGAGGAGGAGTGTCTGGCACGCAGCCGCGAGGGCGCCCCCAGTGGACCGATGAATTACGCTCAGCCTCGGGCTCCCGACAAGGGACGAAGACGTGAGAGAACGAACGACCAGACGAAGGTGGCGGCGGCGGCGAGGAGCGACGACGACGCGCCCTAGGGCGGGGGGTGGAACGGAGCCCGAGGCGACGACTATTGGATTAGGGACCGCTGCAAATTGGAAAAGGAGGAGGAGGAGGAGGAGGAGGAGGAGGAGGACGAGGAGGAGGAGGAGGAGGAGGAGGAGGAGGAGGAGGAGGAGGAGGAGGGGAAGCATGGCACAAGGGGGAGGGAAGGAAAAACAGGAATGGTGGGGAGGACGGCCCCCTCCGCACCCCCAGGTCGAGAAGGAGGAAGTGGACGGCGAACGCCTCGTCTCTGTCACCGGGGCGCACGCCCAGGTGGGGGGCCGGGGGGGGGGTTCTCGGATTGATCGCCCTGTGGAAGGCGTCGTCGTCGTTGTCGTCGTCGTCGTCGTCGCCGTCGTCGTCGTTGTCGTCGTCGTTATCGTCGTCTCCGTTTTCCCCCATCAGTGCGCAGCGAACGAGCTCGAGTTGGAACACGATGTATACCATTCTTGGTCGTGGGTACACCTCTAACAGACAGCGTGAACATGGTATGTGATAGGCCGTGGCCTTCAGCCCAGCAGAGTCCGGCGAGAACGCACTCCAGAGCCCATGGGGCACGCGCCAAGCCCCGGGGGCCCCGCGCCAGGCCCTGCCAAATCTCAGGATTTGGGTCGACTAGAGGTAAGAGTGACCTTTCGCCGGAGTGACCTTTGCCCCCCATCGCCGAACGCGATGCGGTGGTAGCGTCTTGCGCGCTTGTGTTCGGTCCCCCCCGCGGCCCCCAAGGAGCCGCGCACCAAAGGGTCACTCTTACCCAGGGTCACTCTTGCGTGTAGCCGATTGGGGTCCGGCTCCCCGCTCCCCTGAAGACTCCTCGGGAGCGGGGAGTGAAGCTCAGAGGATTGAGCAGAGGACCTGAGGACACGCCCACTCCGTGCCCAGCGGCACGGCGGCGGATCTAAGGCTTCGCGTATCTCTTCCAGCAACTAAGGTGCATCAGCTTCCCTGGGCGTTGCAGACCAGCCATCCAGCTCCACCAGCCGCTGCTGCACATCAGCCGCCGCTTCTGAGTGATGGCCCGGCCGGCTTGCGTGTCGCTTAGTCGCTAATTAGGCTGGCCCGTGCCCCGGACCCCCTCTCGCCGCCTGCCCTCTGCTGCGCGGCCGCGACAAAAAAGTATCTCTTCCAGCCCATCCGGGAGCGATGCCCAGGGGAGCTGCCCTTCTCGGGGGGAGCGTCGCATCACTTGGATGCCTCGGGGAGCCTCCTCCAGGGCCGAGACTTGGGCCATCTTGGTCCCCCCGTCCAGGCCCAGGGGGGAGGGGTAGCAGGGCTGATTCCGATTCTGCTGATTCGATTCGATGTCGACGGATTCCGATTCTGATTCGATTCGACCTCGGATTCCGATTTTGGCTCCGATTTCTCACTGGAGGCCTGCGAGCCTGCCGATTTCTGCCGATTCGACTTCTCCCGACTCGGCTGCCAGTTTCCGCCGATCCGATTCATTTCGATCGCCGATCCGACTTATCGATTCGAGTTTGGGCTCTCCTGACGAATTCCCCCCCGGCCCGCAAGCTGTTTCGCTCACTCACACCCGCCCTCCCAACACATACGTAGCACCCGAGCCTCAGCATGTTCAGCGGTCGTCGATGGATGGACAGCTACTGGACACCACAACCAGGCCCCATATGCGCGACGCTGGGGCGAGATGTGACACGCATGCCAGGCGCGCCAGGTACCCCTGGGGCCCAAGCGTGCCAGACATGCTTGGCGCGCCAGGTGCTCCACGCGCTCCGTGTGCGCCAGGTGTGCCGCATGCTCCAGCCGCGCCGGGTCTGCCACGTTCGGGGCACGCTTAGAGAGTGACAGGTGCGCCCACGCACGTGACAGCACACATCGGCAAACACGTCGGTCCCCACCAGCCTTATCGAAAACCGCTGCACAACAAGCGCGGCGGGGAGGCCAGCGTGGTGTCTGGTGGGCCCTGCGCACATCGGGCAGCGTCAGAACCCCCGCTGTCCTTGCCAATCACCCATGGACAGGAGCGCGGGGTGGCCGCGCATGGTCCAGATTGGCCGCGAAAAGGTCTTTTCTCTCTGCCAGGGATGGTGGCCTTGCGCGCCACAGGCAATATGAGGACCCAAGCCGTCCCTGTCAACAGTGGAGCGTGTTCGCGGGGCCTGCGAGCACGACCCAAGATTCAGGCCCAAAGTGCATGCTGTATTGTCCCTGCTTCCTGGCGAACCTGTGGTATCGGGCCATTGTTTTAAAGAGACAGCGCCCCGCGTTCCTTGCTTCCTGCGGCCCCCTGAGGATCCATTTCGGCTCGATAGATCCGATCCGACTCCGATCACACTGAATTTGCAATCCTACTGATCCGACTCAGCTTTCCGATCCGGCTTTTTCCGATCCGGGTTGTAGAAGGCAGATTCGATTTTCCGATTCCGGCATATCGAAGCGATAAGATTTCGATTCGACTTTATTTGAAGGGAAACATTGCTCTCCGTCCGTTCGGCCGTCCGTCATTCGTCGTCCGTCATTAGTCATTCGTCGTCGTCCTCGTCGCCGCCGTCAATAACGTCGCCGTGCGGATGCGGACGACGCGGCAGAACAGACGCAGCGGGCCACATCGAAGACGCTGACGACGCCGACGCCCTCATCTGAAGGTCTCTGGAGGCTTCCAGAGAGCTCTCTGCAAGTCCCCAGAGGTCTACGGAGGTTCCAAAATTCCTTCAGAGCCTTGCGGAGATCCCCACGACAAGCCCAACGCGTCAATTCGAATCCCAACACCTTTTTTGTCAGCGACCACGGGGACGACGAGGACGACCACGAGGACGACCACGAGGACGACCACGAGGACGACCACGAGGACGAGGACGAGGACGACGACGACGAGGACGACGACGACGACGACGGCGACCGCGACTGCTGCGACGGCGACGACGGTGGCCTCGGCGGCAGCGACGACGACGAGCCCGGGCCAGCAGCAGGTGGCAGCGGCCGCGCGCAGCATACTGGCCGTCCTCGGCGGCGCCAGCCCGAGCGGGCCCGGGCCCGCGCCTCGGCGCTTCCCAGGTCCGCTGCTCTGCGGAAGCGGTCGCCCTCCGTGCGCGCACGTGCTGCACGGTTCTGCCCACGCACGGGGCACGCACGCCGCGCGCGAACCCTGCCGCTTGCCAGGTGCGCACCCTGCACGCACGCACACACACGCACACGCACGGGACACACGCTCCCAGCTGCACGCAGGCATGGCCACACCCCCCTCACAGATCCCACTCCTCACACATGCCAGGGCACGCACACCGCGCGCTGACCCTGCCGCTTGCCGGGTGCACACCCTTCCGAGGTGGGAATTTATACATGGCCACCGCCTGGAGGGTCAGTTTTAGGAGCCTCGGGAGGCGGTGGATATGGACATATTCGGGCCCCCGGGGGCCGAAACATATCCATATCCACCGCCCGCTGGGGCACCAGGGCGTCGGTTCCCAGGCGGTGGATATGGATAAATCCCCGCCTCGCAACCCTGCGCGCACGCACACGTACGCACACGCACGGGACACACGCTCCCAGCTGCAGGCAGGCATAGCCACGCCCCCCTCACGGATCCCATCCTTCCACACAGGCCACGCGCACGCTCGCCGGGCGCAGCACCTGGCCGATGCAACCCCAGGCAGCCACTTCTCACGGGCGCCCACATGCAACCGCCTAGACGTTCGGGGAAGCCTACTGACGGGACCCCATGTGCACCCATCTCGATCTGTGCGCAGATCCATGCGCTCACGAAAGCCCAGAGAAGCGACGCTTGCTGTTCTTCTCCGGTCAGGTTTCCAGTAGGCCTGTCTCAGGTTGGCTCTGAGCGTTTTGTCACAAGAACATGCAGTGAGAGGAGGTGACATTGCCCTCCACCAGTTCCACGGCCTCGGCGGAGCGCACGAGTCTTCCTGGTGTCCTTGACGCGGCCCTTGGTGTCAACGTCGCCACAGCTTCGCCCTGCTCGGCGCAGAGGCAACGAGCGGAGTCCTGTACGCTGCTATCCGAGGGCAGGCTGAGAACGTGGCATCGGCGATTCGCCGATGCATCGGCGATACATCGGCGATGTGGTGCAATCCTCTGGCCCCATCTACAGTCGGGGCGCTGAAGAAGGAACCCTTTTCGTTTGGGAGGGGCTCCGCGTTCCTTAAGCGTTTCACAGCTCGCCTCAGGTTTTCCTTATGTTTTCGACAGGAAATCGAAGGTTAACTTATGGAAAAAGGGGGCCTCGTTCCTTATTTAGGGTTCCTCAGGTCAACGCCCCGACTGTACTCGGACCCCATCAAGGAGGCCCCTCTAGTGCACGCGCCCGGGAAAAGGGCATCCGCCAGGTGCGGCCGCCGGCGGCCGGCTGTGCCCTTCAGGGTGCTCAGCTGCTCGAGGCAGCTGCTCTGTTGCCCGGGCGTCCGCGCGTGCGCGCCGGGCGTGGCGCGCCACAGCTGGCCGCAGAGGGCCTTGGCATCGCTCGGACGTTTGCATTTTTCCTTCGGCGAGGACCATCGAGGAGCATCCATGATCATTTGGCGAAGCAACCACGCACGAAAGCGAGAAAAGCACAGGGAATGAACGTCCGAGCGATGCCCAGGGGCGGCACCTCCGAGGCGCGTCCCGTTTCGCTTCCCGCATGCGAAGCCCCGTCGCAGGGCCGCAGTGCTGGCGTTGAGTCGGGCCTGTCCCCCCCTACAGGGGGATTTTCGACGAGAAATAAAAGATACCCCCAAAATAATAACAAATCGTCCAACAATAGTCTGGGGACTATTCTTTGAGTATTGTTTGCCCTTTTTGGGGTATTTTTCATTTTTGATCGAAAATCCCTCTGTAGGGGGACACGCCCGACATAATGCTAGCGCGCGAGGGCGCTATCATAGGCCCCCCAGATGGAGTCCGAGGAGATGGGGTCGGAGGGTCGCGCCGCACCGCCGATGCATCTGCGATTCGGCGTGATCCTCCGACCCCATTTGCTCTTGACACCATCTGGGAGGCCTCTAGCTATGCCCCGCGTTGTGCCGGGCCTCTCAGGAGAGGAGTTCTTGCAGGGGCCTGGGTGGGAGAAACGAGCCGCCGCTGGCGCTGGTCCCTGGGACCCATTTGGGGCGGGATCAGGGGATCAGGGATCAGTTGCAACGATGCAGTGGAGGCCTATGCCAAGAAACACCCTGCTTGCTTCAGGGTGCCCTGGGTTTCTTGGGTTTCGATGGTTTCGCTATGGAAAGCATGACGTTCACACACCAAAGATCAATGGACGCCCTGGGGCCTCAGGGTTGGGTTTCTCGTGGTCGGGCCCCCACAGGTAGGAGGGGATGCATCGGCCCCCAATCGCCCACTGATCGCCAATAGGGGCCCGATGGCCCCATCCCGCCCAGGAAGGCGCGGTTTCACCGTCGCGGGCCCATCGCCTACCTGTCGGCCATGCATCGCCGATTCCAAGCCGATGCCCCCCCACACATGCCAGCCTCCTGGTGGTCTTCGGGGCATGGCTCGGGCTTCCGGCGGCCGTTCGGCACGACCTGGGCACCCCCTTGGACGCCCTCGGCGAGGCGCGGCCGTGGGCAGGCGCCCCGAGGTTGGCAAGCCGCCGAGGCGCAGCGAAGACGCAACCTCGAGCCCGATGGTCCCCCGTACCAGTCAACCCGCACAGTTGGGATGGGCAGCCTTCCCGAGAGCACCCTCGCCCCCCCCCCGATCGAAAGGACTATCAAGCCTGCTCGGATGCTGATGTGTCTTTTGTGCCAAACGCAGGTAGCTTTCGCCCTCCAGGGTCTCTTCAGCCGAAGGGGCTCCTCCTCCTCCTCCTCCTGCTCCTCCTGCTCCTCCTCCCCTCCTCCCCCTCCTCCTCCTCCTCCTCCGCATGCCTCCTCCTCCTCCCTCCTCCTCCTCCTCCTCCTCCTCCCTCCGCCTCCTCCGCCCCCTCCTCCCTCCTCCCCCTCCTCGCCCCTCCTTCCCCTCCTCCCCTCCTCCTCCTACTTCCTACTCCTCCTCCTCCTCCTCCTCCTCCTCCCATCACTCATGCTCCTTCCTCCCCCCCCTTCTCCTCCTCCTCCTCCTTCCTCCTCCTTCTCACCCTCCTCCCCCTTCCTCCTCCTCCTCCTCTCCTCCTCCTCCTCCTTCCCATCACTCCTTCCTTCCCCCGCTCCTCCTGCTGCCCCTCCTCCTCCTCTCCTCCTCCTCCTCCTCCCTCCTCCTCCTCCTCCTCTCTCCTCCTCCTCCTCTCCTCCCCCTCCTCCTCCTCCTCCCCCTCCTCCTCCTACTTCCTACCTCCTCCTCCTCCTCCTCCTCCTCCTCCTTCCCATCACTCCTTCCTCCCCCCCTCCTCCTGCTGCTCCTCCTCCTCCTTCTCCTCCTCCTCCTCCTCCTCCTGGCTGGCGCTGGCCGACTGGCCGAGCGCAGGGGCCTCGGCCCAGGCTGGCGCTCGAGAGGGGAGGAGGGAGGGGCGGAGGGGCTCACTCGAGCGGGGTTTGAGCAGATGGGGTCGCGCCGCATCGCCGGAGCATCGCCAGTGCGGCTCGATGTGGAGCCCGATTCGCCTCACATCGATGTCGCAGATGCATCGCCCACGTCGACGATGGGGCGGAGGGAGGGGGGAGGGAGTCCGTAGCCATCTTGGCTCAGGTTGGGCTCAGGACTCCCTCGAAGCAGAGCAACTTGTGGAGCCAGGCGAACTGGCTTCTTGCACTGGGAATCCTTGATCGTGTGCAGTTTATTCGTGCCGTCGGCACGTTTGAGCCAGCCTGTCGGGATGGCTTGGTTGGCTGTGTGTGTGTGTGTGCGTGTGTGTGTGCGTGTGTGTGTGTGTGTGTGTGTGTTTGTGCGTGTGTGTGTGCGTGTGCGTGGAGGGTAGGGGGGGGGGTCGGCGGCGAGCCTGGGGTGGGGGAAGTGTGAAGGGGCGGGCCTTCTCAGAAGGCTCAGAAGGCTCGGAAGCCCCCCGGCCTTCCGAGAAGTCTGCTGAACCTTTCCCGAAGACGCAGAAAACCTTTCAGAGGCTGGGGGCCTTCTGTGAAATCCCGCCGCCTTCTGAAAGCCTTCTCCTTCTCACTCCCCTCACCCGCCGCCGAGGGGATGCAAGCTAGGTGCGCTCGCGCCTTAGCTGAGCTGACATCCTATCCCTCCCTCCCATCCCATCCCATGGCGCTGATTTTTTATCTATCCGTGGACGCGTGTCATAGCCGACCTGCAGCTCCCACAGAAAGACACATTCGTATTACGTGCAATCGGAAAAGGAGGAGCTGCGTGCGCAGGAGGGGAGGGGGTGGATCCCCGCCCACATCCCTCCTCTCCAGGGATCCGGCTGGCCGGATCCGATCAGATACCATCGCCCCCGCAGCCTGCGAGGCTCTGACGAAGCCCGTCGCAGGCGCCGACATTGTCCAAATTGCAAAGCGAGCCCGCCGCAGGCGCCCAGTTTTCGTCACAAAAACTCTGGGTTGCTCACGTGTGGGTCGCGGGTGGATCGCGGGATGGGTCGCGGGGCGGATCGCGGGATTGGTCGCGGGGTGGGTCGCGGGCGGGTCGCAGGCGAGGACGACGACAACAAGCAAACAAAGAAGCAGAATCTGCGCCGCGGAGCCCCACTTCAGTCACGCAGCCAGGGACAGTGAGTGACCGCTCGGCCCCCTCACTCTGACATGGATTCCCGGCGATCCCGATGCGGCCCGATGCTTGCAGGGCGCTGCTGCGCATCCGGGCACGGCCGATCCGGCTCGACCCCGACTCCGTGCCGCGTCGAACAACAAACAACGGCATACGCATAAGTGAGGAGGGGGAAAAACTGACAGACACAAGTAATCGTCGATTCCCATAAAATAATGGGAAAATATGGGAAGTGGGGGAAAGACAAAAACCCAGAAAATATATGAAAATATGGCGAATCCTTTTATTTGTGTGTATTTATTTGTGTGTCCCAGGGCCCCTTAAATAAGTTTTTGGCGGTCCGCGCGCACTTCCTGGATCGGCGTTGGGCCCCCCTGGCGGCGCTTCCAGCGCCGCCCCTGGCGCGCTCCGCGCGCCAGGGAGGGGGATCCAGCTCAGATCAAAGATCCGCGCGGACCGTCAATGTTTGTGCCGTTTTCTCTTCCTCTCATGCGCAATCCGACCCAATCTGGCTTCAGATTTTTGCTCGATGCTTCGCATCGCCAAAGCGCGCCACTGGGTGCCCCAGTAATTGAAAACGGTGTATGTGCTCGCAGATCCCCCCCTCCCCCTTCAAAGGGGGGGGAGATTTTCGGACCTCCCCCTTTTATTGGGAGGGAGATTCGGACCCCCCACACCCCCTTTGAAACAGGGGGGGATCCAGACCCTCCCCCCTCTTTGCATTGGAAAGGGGAGGGGGACGATTTCGGACCCCGCCCTCTCCCTCTGCGCCGGACAGGAGGCCGGGGAGAGGGCCTCTCCCGCAAAGGGGGGGGGGTGTTTGGCCGAGTAGTGAATTGTGAGCAGTTAAGGAGTAGTGCGTAGTGAAGGGAGTAGTGAGTAGGAAGCACCGAGTAGTGAGTAGTGGGTAGTGAATAGTGAGTAGTGAGTAGTGAGTAGTGAGTGGTAAGTAGTAGGGAGTAGTGGATAGTGAATAGTGAGTAGCGAGTAGGGAGCATCGAGTAGTGAGTAGTGAATAGTGACAAGGGCGTAGTGAGTAGAGAGTAGTGATAAGTGGGTATTGAGTAGTGGGTACTGAATAGTGAGTGGTGGGTAGTGAGTAGTGATAAGAGATGAGTGATTTGTGAGTAGTGACTAGTGAGCAGTGGGTCGAGGGTAGTGAATGGTGGGTACTGAGTAGTAAGTAATGAGTACCCAGTAGTGAGTACAGAGTAGTGTGTCTTGAGTAGTAAGGGGTGGGTAGTGCGTAGTGAGTAGTGGGTAGTGAGTACTGGGTAGTGAGTAATGGGTAGTGAAAAATCAGTAGTGGGTGCAGAGTAGTGAGTACAGAGTAGTGAGTAGTGAGTTGTGAGTAGTGCGTTGTGGGTAGTGGGTCGTGAGTTGTGAGTCGTGAGTAGTGAGTAGTCGGGAGGAGGACGTGGTGAGTAGTGTGCAGTAAGTAGTGAGTAGTGCGTAGAAAGTAGTGATTTGCGAGTAGTGAACTGCGGATCATGAGTAGTGAGTTGCGACGGGTGAGTCGTGAGGTGCTAGTTGTGAGTAGGTTGTAGTGAGTTGTCAGTAGTGAGTCGGGAGTAGCGGCCATTGGGTAGTGAATTCTTTACGCTTCGCGTATCCCCACCAGCCCATCTCACATCAGCAACTCGTCGCGAAACATGCCGACAGTCGTGTTTTTCAGGCGTGGGTCCGCTTGGCCCCGCATATCTCCCCTGTTCCTCCTTCCTCCCGCCTCCTTGTACATCCTCCTTGTGAAGGGAGCGGGAGAAGGACGAGGCGGAGGAGGAGGGAGAGAAAGCGCTCCTCGTGATTTGAGTCGTTTGGGGTTTCTCGTCCTGGTGTGAGTCGTTCGGGCCCTTCTTCCTGGTGTGAGTCGTTCGGGCTCTTCGTGGTGTGAGTCGTTCGGGCTCTTCGTCCTGGTGTGAGTCGTTCGGGCTTCTCGTGGTGTGAGTTGTTCGGGCCCTCTTCCTGGTGTGAGTCGTTCGGGCCCCTCCTCCTGGTGTGACTCGTTCGGTCCTCGTGGTGTGAGTCGTTCGGGGCCCTCTTCGTGGTGTGAGTCGTTCGGGCCCCTCGTCCTGATGTGAGTCGTTCGGGCTCCTCGTGGGGCCTCTTGGGGGCCTCTTGGAGCCTCGTGGTGGCCTCTTGGGGGCCTCTTGGGGGCCTCTTGGGGGCCTCTTGGGAGCCTCTTGGGGCCTCGTGGGGCCTTGGGCCTCTTGGGGGCCTCTGGGGGCCTCGGGGGCCTCCTCGTGGGGCCTCTTGGGGGCCTCTTGGGGGCCTCTTGGGGGCCTCTTGGGGCCTTGGGGGCCTCTGGGGGGCCTCTTGGAGGCCTCTTGGGGGCCTCCTGGGGGCCTCTTGGGGCCATCTTGGGGCCTCTTGCGACCTCCGCAGAAGCGCAAAGGAGAGCTGCCCCCTGAAAAGGACAAAATGAGCCCAAAACCTTCGTACAATCAGTGATTTTGCTATGAGGGAAGATGGGCGCGGCCCCCTCAGAAGGCCAACATGGGGCCCAAACCCTAGTAAAATCAATGATTTCTGCTTCAAAGACGAGCAGAGGAACCAAATTCCCCCCCCCCCGGGGCCAGAATCCTCGTGAGTGTCGTCGTTTTTTGGCCCTCCGAGGAGTCGAAATGGACCCCCCCGCCACCACTCGGGAATCCCTGTCCAGGTCCAGGGGGAGGGGGTAGGGGGAGGGGTAAACCCCTCCCCGAAGGGGAAGATAGGGGGTTGAGAACAGAGAGAGCTCGCTAAACCACTCACGCCCAAAGGGCTGGTGGGATTCTGAGTAGTGAGTTGCTAATTGTGAGTAGATTGTAGTGAGTTGTGAGTAGTCAGTAGGGATGAGCGGGTATTGGGTAGTGAATTGTGAGTAGTGAGTGGTGAGTTGTGAGTAGTGAACAGTGAGTCGTGAGTAGGGAGTCGGGAGTAGTGGGTAGTGAACAGCGAGTAGTGCCTAGGGAGTAGTGTGTAGTGATTCGTGGTTGGTGAGTAGTGGGTAGCGAGTAGTGAGTGGTGAGTGGTGTGTAGTGTGCAGTGATCGGATTAGGGTGTGAGGGCAGGGCTCCAGGATTAGGGTTAGGGGTGGTAGGGATCGGGTTCTGGTGGGGCCAGTGGGCGGCGTGGCGCAGGGGGATGGGGGTGAATCTGAATTCTGAGTCCAGAGGGGAGGGGGGGGCCCGGGAAAGATGGGGGAGGGGGGGGGGGTCCCCGACCGACGACGGACCAGGAAGGGGGGGGGGGTCCCCGACGACGGGCCAGGAAAAGGGGTTGGGAGGGGTATCGGACCCCCCCCCACCCTTGGGGCATCCAGCGGCGCGCCCGCATAGCACCCCTCCTCCCCGCACCGCCTGGCCTGCCGAGGCCGGAGCCCGCGCTGCCGCCCGCCGGGGGCTTCCGAGGGCAGAAGGCCGCCGCGCCCAGGGCGCCTTCGCCGGCGGCGTCATCGTCGGGTCGGCGTCGGGTCGCCGCCGACGCTGTCGGCGTCACAGTTCTCGGACTGCCTCGTGCCGTGAAAGCGGTCACGAGGGAAGGTTTCTAGCACTTTTTGGCCTCATGGAGGCCCTTCTTGCACGGAGAGCGTTCTTGAGGAGACAGCAGCCCGCCTCGTTCCCTCCTGCTGCCCTGCTTCCTGTCCTCCTCTTCCTCCTCTTGCTCCTCCTCCTCCTCCCATCACAGAATCGTCGTCGTCATCAGTTGCATCACCATTGTCATCATCGACGCCCTTTTCCTCCTCCTCCTTCTCCTTCTGCTTCTCCCCCTCCTCTTTCTCACCACCACCACCACTAACATCATCATCATCATCATCATCATCATCACCATCATCATGGATTATCATCTTCATCAACACAATACTCATCGTCATCGTCATCATCATCATCATCATCATCATCATCATCATCATCATAGTCATCATCATCATTGCCATTGTCAGCATCATGAATATCATCATCACCAAGACTGTCATCATCGCCATTCTCATCATCTGCAACATCATCATCACCATCATCATCATCATCATTATCCTCGTCATCGTCATCACAATCATCATCACTATCATCATCATAGCTATCAGCACCACCATCATCATCAGCATCAACATCTTCTTCTCCGTCATCATATCCACCACCATCATCATCATCATCACCATCACCGTCGTCATCATCATCATCAGCAGCATCATCATCAGCATCATCATCACCATCATCATCACCATCATCATCTGCATCAGCATCATCATCATCAGCATCATCATCATGATCACGCGTTGGCCTCGTGCCGTGTCGGCACACCCATCGCACGCTTCGCAGCTCCACCACAGTCCCTAGTGGCAGGGTCCGCATGCCATTTCGGGAGCTCCACCGAAGGCCCCCAGCGGCAAGTTCCGCATGGCGGCTTCGGGCCATTTCGGCACACCCATCACACGCTTCGCGGCTCGATAGAGAGCTCCACCGAAGGCCCCAGCGGCAGGGTCCGCATGGCGGACTCAGGCCATTTCGCACACCGCTCGCGGTACTCGCAGCTGCATCTGGTTGTGTCCTTCGCCAGGCTATTTTTTTTCGCGATAGCGGACGCCACCGGCCCCGTCTCCCCCCATGCCATGGTAACGTCACGATTCGTGCCGGCGCCGTCTGGGAATGCCTAGATAGCCAAGGAAGCTGGAATAACAGCTACCTGTTTGAATTTGCTATGGCAGAGCGCGCACCAGGCTATGGATAGCTACGGATAGCTAAGCGCAGCGTAAGGGATTGTTGAGATAACGGGATGGTATGTTTCATCATCTTGCTCCATCCTCTCCTTTCCCTCCCGCGTTTCCTCTTGCTCTCCCTCCTGCTTTCGTTGTCGTCGTCGTCGCCCTCCCTCTCATTGCACTGTAAAGTACTTCGCGCAAGGACGTAATGCCGAAGGAGGGAGTCGAAAAGGGGGGAGGGGGCGAGGCAGGTGGGGCCGAGCTGGAACGACCTGTTTTATAACACCACTTCCGTTATCGTTTCGTGTTCCGGGAAGGGTTCTGGGCGCTGGAGGTGTTGAGTGGCCTCGTGGTCGTCCTCCTTCCCTTGCTCTTCCTCATCTCCTCCTCTTGCCCTCCCCTTCAGGAGGGGAAAGAACACAGGCACAACAAGGCAATCGTCGACCCCAACGAGAATATGGGAACGTATTGGAAACGGGGGGGAAGACGACTCTCCAGGAAATATCGGAAAAGACGGGGGATCCTCGGATTAGTGTCTCTTCATTTGTGTATCCCTGGGCCCCCTCATATTCCTGTTTATTGCGTCGCAAGGTGCTTTACTTCACAACAACGCGCACACCACATCGCTGGGGCGCACTGGGGGCGTGCGAAATGGCGTACTCCCATGAGATGCACGTGGACTCAATCTTACCAGCAGCGCACTGCGTCCTTTTTTCTTCTGAATGATCGGAATCCGACCGAGGATCTCAAGCTGGATGTCTTCAGCAATCCAGGAGGCTGGAAACACGCGGTTGGAAGCACACGCGCAGTTGTTGGATACACGTGCGGGTGGCTGGCGTACTCAGCCACACGAGGGCGAACCCTGGAAAGACATGCGTCAATATGTGTATCCAGCTCTCGCCCAAGCCGGCCATATCATGTGTATACATCTTCCTGGCAAGAAGCACCGGAGAGGTGCCCCGTTGTGCTGGGTTTGATTGTCGAAGCGAGGTAGGACTCCAGGTAGGACTGCAAGGGAAATGCGGTGGGTGAAGGCAGAGCGTGCGCCTGCGAGAACCACAGCGGCTCGCGAACAACACGCGTGTTGGGCCGGGAAGACACGCAAGACGAGGCCGACGAGAGGAGGACGAGGAGGATGACGACGACGAGGCCATTTTCCGCCTCGGGCCCAGGAGCGCCCAGACTCCTCTCTAAGCGCGGACCGACAACGGAAGTGTAA